CAGTTTTTATTATAACGTCAACATGTATAAACCGACTAATGAAGCCTCTGTTGTAGAAAACTTCATAACTGCCTAGAATAGAAAGATCTTTTTATGTGAGAGGTGATCAAATTTTGATTTTAAATTGTAAATGTAATTTAGTCTACCTTAACTTTTAATATGTGCAAAAAAAAGAATTAAATTTCAAATAAAAATAAAATTATTATAAAATTAAGCTATACAATTCAATAGCAGAATTTCAACATTAAAAACGATCTGTTTAAAAATAGTAAACTACCTACGAAGATTTTTTTTGGTTCCAGTAACCTGAATAATAATTATTATCCAGTTATTTCATACATAACAAATAATAATAGAAAAATGGAATTTTAATAATATATTCAAATAAGTTACCTGACAAATTTAATTTAGAGGAATTGAATAGGTAAGTAATAATGTCACAAGAAAAGCTAAATCTGTCATTTTCATAAGCAATCACACAACATAAAATACAATTAGAACTTACTAATAATTTTTAATAATTCACAGTTAGCGCACTCTTTAAAAATGTAAAAACTTGTTCTAAATTTCTTTTTTTTTGCCATAACAATGATTACAACACTCAATGCAACAAGAAAATAAATAACAAATTCACAAGAAAGTCGATCTTGGGTTCAACAGTAAAAAAAAAATTCACACAAACCAAACAACTGTTGAAATTCTAGACGAGTGGTTTCCAAACTCTTTTCATCGACGACACCTTACCTTGATTTTTAATTATTCATTGTTTGGTGAAACACGTGACACCCCTAGCAACTTATCATCACACAGAGGTTGGAAACCACTGTTCTAGACTTATTATGAAAAAAGTTGCAAACATAGGATCTCAACCCTACGCTACCTGGTGAGTATTCTATTGGGTTTGGCAGAAATGTCTTAAAACACTGGTAGGTATAGGTAGTTTAGTTAGGCCTTAGAGATTCAGGTTTTACTTGTTTGAAATAGAAAAAAGTTACTGAATCTTTCATTCGATTACAAGAACCTTATCTTTTCTCCTCTGACACTGTTATGCGCGTCATGTGATGACACACATAAATTATATTACTTTTCATTCTACATGCTCATCTCTAATTCTAACAATTCTAAACTGAATTTTACTTCACCACAAATGTCATTTATACAGGTGAAGAAACCTTAATAATCTGTTTATTTCAAGGTTAGATCACTATAAGCTTTATGTAATCTGTAAATATGCACAAAACACTCGACCAATAGGGCTACACACACACCAGTAAACTACAAAAGTATAGTGGCTGAATTGTTTTAAAAAAAACTAAGGAAGAGGTTGGTTCTTTGGTAAAATAAAACCACTTGGTTTGTATAGGTCATTCATCTTTATATGTCTTTTTACGGTGTTACTCTTGACTTACTTAACTTGTCAATACACTACAACTTAGTGAGGTATGTCTAGTAATAGTTTACCACCAACAGTGGTTAAAAACCATACATAATACACATTCAAATGTTCTAAAAGCTGATTTTCTGTGATTACACTTATTTAAGAAGGTTTCTTCCAAGAAGATTTAATCTTTTTAAAGGAACATTAATTTTGTACTTACCTTGCAAACGGTGTATTTGATCATTCACACTTATGAATAGAAAAGTTAACTTCACATAAATAGGAAAACATAAGAATTTGATATCAGATGTTAAAGGTTTTGTAGTTCAACAGGAGCTTCATTCTTTAGCCAGATCATTCATGAAGTTTGAATGGACGAACCTGATGACGAAAGTCTTTCCAAACGTCGTCCTCTAAACTTGTGTTTCTACAACAGGCTGTCCGTTCAAACTAAGTTTTGTCAGCAACTTCACTATCAACAAACTTATGTGTTTTTAATTAATACATAAATATGCAAAACAACAATCCCAAAAGAGTCATACGACTCTTCCATTTCTACAGTAAACCCAAAGTCCAGTTATGTTCTGTGTATTAGTTAATTATAAATGTTTTATTATCTAATGTTATAAGTATACTATAAAAAAAGAATGGGTTAATATACACACACACACATACAACAATGAGGGTGGGGGTACAATAAGCATCATCTTTGGAACCCTTATACTTGCAAAATTAATTGTAAAAATACTTTATGTCATTCTTTTTAATCTATTTGACCATCTCTGTAAGATGTTATACAAAAAACACCAACATATATTAATTACATTACTGAACAGCTGCTTTCAAATTGTAAGAGCCGTAAACTACAAAACAAAACGTCACGAGAACCTCTTTTTGTTCCCAGACAGAAGGTAAATAAAAAAAATTGTTACTATTATCTACGCAGATAAATATTCAACAAGTCAGATTGAATAGATAGAATAACTGCTAATCGAGAGTAAAAAAAAAAAGAGCCAAGTCTATCTGGTCGGGTGTTTGGTAAGTTCAGTTACGTCATAAATAAGTTTAAGTATTCTTATCATCGACCTGAGGTTTTATTGTTTAAATATTAATTACACAAATAAATAAGAAATAAAGGATGTAATATTGTTAACATTACATTTTTATTATTCAAATGACTGCATACTTAATATAAATAACTAATCATAGAGCTGAAATTAAGTTTGCACAATTAAAATATTAATGGCATGTTTACATAACTATTACAGACACTTGTTGATGTATATTTGAATTTTAATAACTTGGTGAAATCAATTTCAACTAAGTAATTTGACTACTACACCAACTTGTATCGTTGGGATGTTAATAGTATTCATGAATAGATCAGAAAGACTTTCCTCGAAACTTTTATACTTATACCAGAACTCTTAGTTTTAAAATATAAATATCAGGCCAGAACAGCCACCAGTGTATCATTGGTCGTTTTTGAATATCTCAATCACAAGTGATATAACTTAAAAACTGTACTTTCTAAAGTGATTAAAACAATAAGCAGAAACCATTATCTATTCTCTAAAATAGAAAGAACTATCACTACATACATGTAATTACTGAAAATGTAACTTAGCTACATTTGTGCCAAAAGCACAAAATGAGTACAATTAATAAACTTGAAGTTTTCTGAAAATTGATAGAAAATGCATTCAACATACAGTAAAAGCTTGGAATGAAGTAGAATTTCTTTGTTTTGTTTTAATTCATATCGAGTATCCTAAGCCACTTCTGATTCACAAAAATATAAACAGAAACTACAAAACCAGCACTCAGTGATTCAGGATCTCCACATTTCCGCTAATTTTTCAGTTATCAATACAGTCAAGGAGCAATAGAGTCAAATAAGTTGAGGCAAACTTTGGCCTTTTCACACACTGCACTGTCTGGGCTCTGACTGAGGTGAGAGATTTCATTTTTCAATCCTGACTCTTGGAATTCTGCTTTTAATGTCTCTGGTAGTAGAAAAAAAATAACAAATTTAGATCCATCTTATTCATTGTAAATACCACTTATATGTTTTATCTTTTTCATTAAGAAAAACTTTCATTAGTGAAAGTAATATAATGTATTTATCACGTTGAAATGAGCATATAAATATAGAAAGCTATCTTAGAAAGTTTATAAATGTAACATGGTACGCTACCAAACTAATGTAACATGGTACGCTACCAAATTTATGACAAAAATGTTAACAGTTTGAAAGATTAGTTGACAGGTTAGGTACCAGAGTTATATGAACTGACCGACTTAACATGAAATGATAAGGATTAAATACCAATAGGTTCTCATGCACAATTGTTGTTTTAATTTATTGAATACAATACATGGTTTGTCACTTTTATTATATGAAGTATTTAATTTTCTGTATATTGTAATTAGCAAGCTTACATTTGAGAACTTCGCTCTAGGTGAAGTTACAACATCCCTTCAGAAAACCGGCTTGGGTAATTTGATTAAGGTGCAACTTCAACAAGATCGATATTCTTCAGAAATTCTCCAAAATATGTTGACCTTCATTGCTGCTGTATCTTCATCAGGTTGGTAGTATGTAAACAGTCTTAACAAATGTATGGTTTTAACATTAGTTTGGTAGCGTACCATGTTACATTAGTTTGGTAGCGTACCATGTTACATTAGTTTGGTAGCGTACCATGTTACATTAGTTTGGTAGCGTACCATGTTACATAAATTTGGTAGCGTACCATGTTTTCTTCACGTATATAAACTTCACAACTTTTATCACTACTGACTGGAAACAAAATATATTAATTAGGTAAATTAGTTCAGGTCATTTATATCAAATTTTCACCTTACCCAACACTGTTCCAGCCATTATATTGAGAGCCAAGAGGGCTTCGTTCTGCATTATCTGATGTTCTGATTGGATCATGTTAAGAAGCTGGGGGACTCCCCCTTCTTTGATGAGTAGTCTCATGACATCACTAGATCTTGAGTGTTTCACCAACCAAGCCAATAAACGTATAGCTTCTCCTATATATATATTCACATAATGTTACTTTAAAAACACGATAAGCCTTCATTTCACATGTTAAATGTATAAGTCAGAATGGCTGGAAGTCAAAAACCTGATAACAAACTACATTAACATTCATACGTGCTAGCTTGAAACCTGATAACAAACTACGTCACCATTCATATGTGCTAGCTTGAAACCTGATAACAAACTACGTCACCATTCATATGTGCTAGCTTGAAACCTGATAACAAACTACGTCACCATCATATGTGCTAGCTTGAAACCTGATAACAAACTACGTCACCATATGTGCTGGCTTGAAACTTGATAAACTACGTTACCATCATATGTGCTAGCTTGAAACCTGATAACAAACTACGTCACCATCATATGTGCTAGCTTGAAACCTGGTAGCAAACTACGTCACCATTCATACGTGCTAGCTTGAAACCTGGTAGCAAACTACGTCACCATTCATACGTGGTAGCTTGAAACCTGATAACAAACTACGTTACCATTCATGTGTGCTAGCTTGAAACCTGATAACAAACTACGTCACCATTCATACGTGCTAGCTTGAAACCTGGTAGCAAACTACGTCACCATTCATATGTGCTAGCTTGAAACCTGATAACAAACTACGTCACCATTCACAGCAAACTAAGTTTTAAAAACGTACGTGTATGCTGCCTAGAATTCTGTTCAGGACTATAATGGTGTTGATATTGTCAGTTTCATCACAGAGTTTACTGATCTAATTAATCTTACATGATTGTCTCTGATATCCATAACTTCAAGTTACCTACGTACAAAAAGTCTTAACACATGCACTAAAATTATCTTTAACACATGAAAATCACAAGATAACTATTTTAATTTTGTTCTCGAACTTTACATTGCTAATAATGTCTAATGATACCAACCTCACTATAAGAAGACAGAGACATAAGTATGGGTACTAAAATCAGCTTTACAATCATGTATTTGTGTATGTTGTGAAATTTATGAATGTTTATCAACTTGGCTGCTGTTATTTTATCTACAGATTCATGAATGTTTATCAACTTGGCTGCTGTTATTTTATTCTACAGATTCATGAATGTTTATCAACTTAGCTGGTGTTATTTTATTCTACAGATTCATGAATGTTTATCAACTTAGCTGGTGTTATTTTATTCTACAGATTCATGAATGTTTATCAACTTGGCTGGTGTTATTTTATCTTACAGATTCATGAATGTTTATCAACTTAGCTGGTGTTATTTTATTCTATAGATTCATGAATGTTTATCAACATGGCTGCTGTTATTTTATTCTACAGATTCATGAATGTTTATCAACTTAGCTGGTGTTATTTTATCTACAGATTCATGAATGTTTATCAACTTAGCTGGTGTTATTTTATTACACAGATTCATGAATGTTTATCAACTTGCTGCTGTTATTTTTAAACATTCATGAATCTGTAGAATTCAACTTAGCTGCTGTTATTTTATTCTATAGATTCATGAATGTTTATCAACTTAGCTGCTGTTATTTTATCTACAGATTCATGAATGTTTATCAACTTAGCTGCTGTTATTTTATTACACAGATTCACAAATGGACAACTGAACAAGTTATACAATGATGTTCAACAGAGCATCACTTCTGATCTATTTTCCAACAAATTTATGAAACCTACGATTATTCTTAAGGTTTCACAAGAATGAACATGAAAGACAAAACATCTTCCAGTTCACTATGTGTAAAAACAAGTTCATAAACTCAGAATTACTTCAAGTTCACTACGAGTGAAAACAAGTTAATAAACTAAGAATTACTTCCAGTTCACTATGTGTGAAAACAAGTTAATAAACTCAGAATTACTTCAAGTTCACTATGTGTGAAAACGAGTTAATAAACTCAGAATTACCTCCAGTTCACTATGTGTGAAAACAAGTTCATAAACTCAGAATTACTTCCAGTTCACTATGTGTGAAAACAAGTTCATAAACTCAGAATTACTTCCAGTTCACTATGTGTGAAAACAAGTTAATAAACTCAGAATTACTTCCAGTTCACTACGAGTGAAAAAAAGTTAATAAACTCAGAATTTCTTCCAGTTCACTACGTGTGAAAACAAGTTAATAAACTCAGAATTACTTCCAGTTCACTATGAGTGATAAAGCTTACCTTTTACTCCAGGATGGTCTTCAGTGTAGCCCCATCTGACAAGCTGTTGAATGAAACTAGAATTTGTTCCAAGTTTACTGGCCACATTTTCTATCCAGAACAAAATCATGAGTAAACATAGTTTTTGAGGTACAAAGACTCTAATCATGATTAGGGCTTATACAGTTAAATTCAGAAATCATGACCACAAAATCCAGAAGAAAAACCTTTTTAATACCCAACATTTCAGCTTATTTTATTCTCTAGGGTTTAAATGTTCAAATGATACATTACAGAAAAGACCATAATAAGAAATTAAATAGAAATACACCAAACAATGGAATGTAATACAATGATGTACAAAGGGAAAGATACATGTATATAAAATATATTGAGGAATTAGACAGAAATAAAGATTAAAACAAATGTTTTTAACATTTCGTTCTCTGTGATAACAGTTCTTTACTTAATCTAACACTATGTCATAGTTTTATTACAGTCAATGTAATTAAATTGATTATTTTTACCCCTATATGATTGAAGTGAAGCCTAACAATGTCTTGAGAAAGTTTTTTTATGTTTGATGGGAGGGAAAACAATTTGATTGATGTGTTTTTAGTGTCAGACAGTAAGTACAAAAACAATTTGATTGATGTGTTTTTAGTAGCAGACAGTAAGTACAAAAAAAATTTGATGTGTTTTTAGTGGCAGACATTAAGTACAAAAACAATTTGATTGTTGTGTTTTTAGTGGCAGACATTAAGTACAAAAACAATTTGATTGATGTGTTTTCAGTGGCAGACATTAAGTACAAAAACAATTTGATTGATGTGTTTTTAGTAGCAGACATTAAGTACAAAAACAATTTGATTGATGTGTTTTCAGTGGCAGACATTAAGTACAAAAACAATTTGATTGATGTGTTTTTAGTAGCAGACATTAAGAGCGAGGCATGTTATGATGCGTGGCAGTG